TATTTAATTTTTTATTAATTTAATTTAATTTTTAATTTTTAAAGTTGTCCACAAACTTTTGTCCACCCACTGTATTTAACAAATTGTTTTTTATATTTATAATTAATCGATTTTTTTAAAATTTGATTAGAGGAATAATTTTATTATTTATTTCAAAAATTTGATTAGAGGAATAATTTTATTATTTATTTCAAAATAATGATTCTGTCTTGTGGATTTTATATGGAAAATTAAATAAAAAATAATAAATTTAGCTTGATGACAAATGTTAAATAATAATACTTGATAATAATAGAATAAATCGTTTTATTAAATATGTTTTTAAATCTGATTATCTTTAAATTTTTAGTGATTTATTTATAATAAATATTCCTGATTTAAAAATTAACAAGGTACCCGGTCGATGTAGAAGCGACGCAATGATTACAGATTAGTAAATATTTACACTTTGTAATTACAATATTTAATAAATTAGAAGCGGAATATCAAGAAAAAAATTGACTACAGTAAATGGCGAAGTCGTTTAGGCGAGGGCTATTCTAGTTGTCAGTATTTAAGCACTTCTACCAAACTTTTCAAATCATATATTTCCTACAAGTCGAACGAAAAGATTATTTTACAACGCGAGAATTGAAGAATCTGCCGAATTCAGTATTTTTTGCATTAATAATTAGATGACTGTGTACTCGTATCAAACAAGTAATCATCCATTTTTGGAAATGGTTCGATTTTGAAAATGATCATAAAACGGTTATGACCTGATTACCGTGTAGTATAAAATTATAAAAACCCAACGTTTTCTCGAAATCTTTTCTGAAAAAAAGAAAACAGAAAAAAGAAAAAAAAATGTATAAAATACAACGCTTTATAACTCTCGGAAATGTCAAATATGCTTTTGCAAAGATCAATCAAAGGGTAATTTTGCATTGATGATAAAACATTACATTTTTGTTTTCGAACCTGCTCTTACTCTTATTATTTAATTTCAGGCTTACGCTTCCACTTCTCGAGTGAAAGTTCCTCTAAACGAAGAATGGGTAAAAATCGCCACTAAAGAATTGAAGGGAAAAGATCCAGAAAAAACGTTGACCTGGCATACTGCTGAGGTTATTATTGTTTCGACATTACATTGTTTTTCCTATGAGATACTTATATTTCGTGTTCGGGAATCTAGAATATCGATGTAAAACCAGTTTACACGAGAGCAGATACAGAAAATTTTCCGGATGAAATTCCTGGAAAGTTTCCGTTTACTCGAGGTCCTCA